AGGATCTCAACTCTACTAAGGCAGGAGCTTTGTGTCCCCAGTGCTTCCAAAGAGGGTGCTCAATGCAAATTTTCTGAGTGAACGAATGAATTTTCTGAATGAATGATGCTCTGGCTCTGAGAAGCAGATCCTTAAAAGCTGGCAAGTCCCCGGTTCTGTCTTTACATTCTACAGTTCTGCACTTTGGCCATTAGGTGGCGCATCTGGGTGCGTGAAGAACAGAGGCTGGGATTCCAGGTGTCGCAGAACCCAACAACGGGGCAAAAATGAGCGAGGATCTCAAAAGCAAACATCATTTGTCGACTCCCGTAGCAGACATCTCTCAAGCACCAACTGCGAGCTAGGCACACGCCCCTTCTCCTTCTGTAACTCGGTTTGAGGGAAGGAAGTGCGGGGTCTAAATGGCCACAGGCATTCAGGAATAGCCTATCCCAGGATTGTGGTAAGGGTCAGGATGTGGGCAAGAGGGGTGATGGAAAAGGCTTGTGAAGGGGTGTCTGCAGCTTCCAGGGCGGCCTGTCAGCTGCTCTGACGCTAGTGGGACAAATTACAGGATCAACCAAATCTGAGTTTAAATACCAACTCTCCCACTTACGTGCTGTGTTGTCTTAGCCAAATATTTTGACCTCTCTGAGCCTCAGTTTCCTATTCTATAAAATGGAGATCTCCAAAGTTCCTCTTTCGAAGGAAACTGAGAATAAAACAAGGGGGCCCTTGGCACAGTGCCTGTCACATAGCAAGAAAACTAAATATCATTCTAAAAATTAGCCATAACAACTATTTGCACAGCTCTTGGTAAAGCTCTCTCTGCATTCTTCATATCATAAAAGGTAATGCTCCTAATAACACTGCGAGTATCTTTATTACCCCACTTCCAAGATAAGGGGGCCAAGGTTGTCAGCTTATATAACTTGCCCACAATCATATAGCTTATAAAGTAATGGACTCAAGCCAAGTTCTGCTCAACAAAAATCACATGAGCTGTCCCCAGTGTGGCAGGTGCTATGCCAGGTGATGGGGATCGAGGAAGGATAAGATTGCAATCTAGGGGAGACACAAACACGTGCAGATCATTGCCATAAAATAGGTTAGCTATTGTGACAGGGGAGGACCAAAATGCTATGGGGTCACAGACAAAAGTCACTTGGTTTAACCGGGAGACTCCGGAAGGACCTCATGGACTGGGCAACCCTTTAGCTAAATCTTGAAGGCTGGAGAAGAGAGACCTAGGAGAAGAAGGGGAAAGAGAACCCTAGCATTCTAAGTCAAAGAAATGCCCTATGCCAAGGAACCTGTCATAAAACAAGACTGCTAACTGCAAACCCAGTATCCAGTGAGCCATCTAGGCCCTTTCTCTAACCTAACTCAGGAAGTCGGGAGGGAACAGGGCACTAACTGAGGGCTGAAGGGCCCTCCATGTGCTCTCGCTGTCCAATCCTTTCTGCAAAGCACTCATCAGTCTGTAATCATTCCTAGAAGCCCTCAGAGCAGTTCTCCTCAAACACTGACTTCACACAAATTGCCTGAAGTCTTTTCTCAATGCGCAGCCTGATTCAGGAGGCCCTGAGGTGGAGCAACAATGACTGCATTTGTAACCAGTTCCCAGGTGATGTGGTGCTGCAGGTCCCTCGGGGCACATGCTCGAATAGCTGCAGGTCCCTCAGGGCACATGCTCAAATAACAAAGGTCTCCAAGAGGACAGACGGGGTCTGGTTTTCTCAACCATTATATGACCAAACTGTGACATGGAAGAGGCTGAATGAAAGAAATGGAAGGAGGAAGGTCGGGAGGGGAGGCCGGAGGGAGGAAAGAAAGGCTGACTGGGCAGGACAGCAGCTGGGACACTGGGATGAAGGAAGATTCTAAAGGTGTGAGAGGTGCTGCTGAGGAAGAGCCAGAGACCCTGGGTGCCCTCCCTCCACTCCAGTCAGCTCTTGGACGCCCCCGGCACAAACTCAGCCCACTCCCCGCCTCTGCCGGAGTCCCTGTGGCATCTGAGGTGGTGTGGAGGGAGCCCCAATGGCACAGCCTACGGCCTGCTTCCAGAACCTTCCTGGCTTGTTCAGGCGAGGTCGGCCAACCCAGCAAATCAAGACCAACGAGGCCATGCAGTCACTGGGCACAGAGGCAACGAGCAGGTCGAGTGGGATGGAAACCCCCTAACCCCAGCTCCACTCTGCCCTCTGCCCAGCTGATGTTCTGTGATAAGGACAGTCAGATGGTCACATCTAGTATATGCTCTAGTCCAGAAGTCCAAAGCTTTCTGACCATGGGAGGTAGTAGGGTCGTGGCCTCCCACGAATGGCTTCCAGCTGTGGGGACTGGCTCTGCCAGGGATCCACTCAGGTCGCCTTCAGGCCTCAGTCACCCAACAGTTAACACATTTTTTCCTGACTGACAACAAGCACAACACCAAAACAGCCAACTATTTTTATCTGCAGATTAATCACAAAAGGCTAACGCTCCCACTTTCCCTGTGATTAAAAATTAGGAGACCAAACTCTATAGTGGTTCAGGATAATAACCAATCCTGTGAGAGGGGTGCATGAATAATGCATCTCCAGGCTCGGGCTGCTCCAGACTTTCTTCCCTCCCAGGGCCCCAGCTCTGGGACCCAGTCTGAATGGAGAGGTAACAAGTCGCCCCCACCCCTCCCTTCCACGGGAGCTGCAGCTGCCAGAGCGGCTGTTGATTTCTATTCAGCCTGCAGGCCCCCAAACATCCTCCCTCTTCACCCACCCCGCCCCACACACCCCAGCCCCATCCGCACCCCCTCCTACCCCATCTGGTGTGCAGCCAGCCGAAGGCCAATCAATAATGCATAGCTACATGAATAACCGGCATGATAACCACTTATTTGGGAAGATGTAATCAGGACCCATTCTGAGGGTGGATGTTTGTGTGTGTGAGTCTGTGTGTATGTGTGTGTGCGCACACGCCTGAGTATTCACACAGCATAGTCCCACGACCCTCTCTCTTCATCTGCACTCCCTTAATCCAATATTTCAAATACAGCACTAGCAGAGCAGGAGGGAAAGGCTTGGCCCCTCACTGTCTTTGTTTTATGAAAAGTCCTCCTCGCTCTCCACACTGTGATCACAGAAGTTATGCACCTGAGCAAAGGCCCAGAAACACTTGGTTCTCAAACTTGGTCACACACTGCAGTACTCTGGGAGCTGTAGCAATTCCTGATGCTCGAGGTCTACCAGCAGAGAGTGGGTTCAGTTGGTCAGTGCGTGGCCCTGATTTCTGAAACCTCTCCCCAGAAGATTGTGCTGCGCAGCCGGGGTTGAGAACCACGGCCTCAGACCCAGCGAATGTCAGTGCTGGAGGGAGCTGTCCAGACCCCCTGTTGAACTTCCACATTTTATATCTGAGGAAACAAAACCGTGTGAAGGAACTGTCTTCACGGCTTCGCCCTCCGACTCGGGGCACTTTGCACGATACTGAACAGCTGGGCTTATTTATTTTATTCCTGAAGCTTCCAGTTGTTCTTTCCAATGTCTCTGGCCCTCAGCAAGCTCAGCTGGAACGCCTCCATCCCGGACAGGACACCTCGTGGGGAGAAAACTGCCGCCTCAGAAGGAAGGAAGAAGAAGCCCCAGCCCCAGCCCTCCCTGCTGGAAGGGGCCCGCCTACTGCACTGAGATAAAATTCCCTCAGCAGCAACTGTCACACCCACCGCCATTTGTGGAAAGCTCTCATTAGCCTCCCTTTTATCTCAGGCCACACCAGCACCCAGGAGGCCTCTGGCGCTAATGAGTGGGTACGGGGTGGGTGGGGTGGGTGTCCTGCCCACACTCACCATCTGCCTACACCCAGCCCCCATCCCCCATGCTGGGCAGGGTTGGCTGAGGCCAGCCTTCCTCCTTGGACCAGGATCCCTGGTGGAGTCCTGGGGCTGACGATGACATCTTGGAAGCCCTGAGGGTTTGTTTTTCCTCAGGAAATAGAAACTTGGGAGTCGGCACTCACTGGGCCTCCTCAAGGCAGGAAAGGAGAGACAGAGCCGCTAGCTGAAGGTGTGCCCCAGAGCCTCCTGGAGGTGCACCGGGAGAGTACCAGATTAAGGGAGACCCTGCGAAGGGGAGGGAAGGCAGGCAGGTTGTGAGAGCAAGTCCTGGCAGGGACGAGGAGGCTGGGAGGCAGAGCCTGCGAGGTCTGGAGCTGCTGCAACCATCTTCCCGGAGCCCACAAGCACAGAAGCTGGCACGGGGCCTGGGTGGAAGGATGGACTTTCTATGGCAACTGGGCAAAGAACAGGGCAGGAGAGATTCGTTCTGATTCTGCGGTGAGAGAGCCGGAGCCATTCTGGAAGAATAAAAGGCTGTGGAGATACCAGGGTTTGCACAGCCCTCTGAGATGCCGTCTCGGCCTTGAAAGGTTGCCTGTCACCTGTGCCCTGAGAAGAAAGGGACAGCTTGGCGCTTCAAATGTCAAGAGCCTAACTTCCAGCGCACCCGCCCTGCCCCTGCCCCCCCTCCTCTGCCACTCCCTGGAAGCGTGACCTTGAGCAAGTCACTGAACCCTGCCGAGCCTCGTTTTCTGGAAGTGTTTGTGTCATTGGGATAATAATAATAATATTTACCTAGCAAGATTGTCGTTAGGATTAAATCAGACAACAGACGTGACAGTGTTTTGTTTTTAAAAAAAAAAAAAATTTAAGAAGAAAGAAACTACAGATACTACGGAGGGGAGGAGCTGTGCTCCCAGGTCTATGAAAGAGGTTAATGACGCCCGCCCTGTCCCCTCACAGGCTCCTCGTGAGCAGAAGATGGGACGAAGATATGAACATCCTCTGCAAATAAATATGCAATGCGTATGTCCGGGATTATTGCTGTTGTTGCTATTATTGCTATAATACGAGAGGATTATAGGTTTTATTAAAGTATGATCATTATTTTTTGTTATCCGCTCCACAAAACCCACCATCCCAGCCTGCCCGTCGGGCCGGAGGGGCAGGGTGCCCTCAGCCTGACCTCTTTCCCTTCTCCCCACAGTGCCACCCGATGACCCCGTCATCCTGGGGGGGCCCGTAATCAGCCTGCGGGCAGGGGACCCCCTCAACCTCACCTGCCACGCAGACAACGCCAAGCCTGCAGCTTCCATCATCTGGCTGCGGAAGGGAGAGGTCATCAACGGGGCCACCTACTCCAAGGTGAGGCCTGGGGGCAGGAGGGACGGGGATTGCGTGGGGAGGGGTTCGCCTCTCCCTATCTCTCTGCAGCTCTTGCTCTCTCTAAGCGTATGTCTTCCTGTCGCTTTTTGTTTCTTCTCCTTTGCCTCTCTGTCTCTCTTTCTCTCTGTGTCACTTTTTCCCTCCTATGCTATGGCTCTGTTCATTCCACTTTTCCCGTCTCTCGGCTGTTTAGCTCTATCTCTCTTCCTCTCGCTGTCTTCCCTGGAGTAACTGCTTGGCTTGGCAAAGACCTGAAGCATAGGTAATGCAGGACGGACGTGGCCAGGGCCCGGGGTTGACAGAAGAAATACAGGATGGCCAGTTACATTTGAATTTCAGATAAACAACAAATAGCAGTAGAAGTACACGCCAAATATTGCATGACACCATACTTACAGGTCATACCTAAAATAAAAATAAATTATTCAATGTTTATCTGAAATTCAAATTTAATTGAGTGTCCCATATGTCTATTTGCTAAATCTGGCCACCTTTCCAGGGCTGCCAGGTCAGGCTGTTTAGGTGTTTTCCTGTCCCAATTGTCTGGCTCAGGGGCCAGGGAGGACTGAAACCCAGCCCATCATCCCTCACCAAGCCCTGCGTCCTCCTCTACCTGCCCACAAGGGTGCTTTTCTCTAATTCATACAATTTAGGTGCTCCGCAAGTGCCCTGAACAGGCCTCGATGTCAGTCGTGTTGTTTATTTTCTATATTTTATGATGCTTTGACATCTTGAGGCCTTGCAGCATGGAGAAACTTCCCCTTGCGGTTAGCTAAGTCCTAGAGACATGCTGCGAACACAGCTTTGATATGCAAACCAAACAATCCTGGGTCCAATTCCTCATCACCTCCTTTTATCAGGCTCCTGCAGTCCTTCTGCCCCCAGTAACCCCAGGGCCAGGCACTGGCTAACTAAAGGCCACCCCCATAGCCTACAGCCTGATGAAATGAATCAAACTATCCAATCCTAAAACTGTTCGACTGCTTACCCCGCCTTGTCCATTCTTCCCCACAAAACGACGACAGAGGCTCACGTCCATGCTTTCTCCTCTGCTCCCTCTGCCTCCTGATTACCCTTGGTGCTGCCCCGTGTGGCATGCCGAGCCCCTTCTCTTGGATGCCATAACCAACTACCTATTCAATGACAGTTGTCTCCTGATCTGTTGGCCTCACCCTTCCTGAATAAAAACAAAACACCAGGTAGATTTTAAAACAGTGCCCACCAAACTCCACTCAAGGAGACTGTGAATAGAACTGCAGACAGGGTTTCTGTACCACAGACCCTATAAAGATGAGCAGGACCTGGGAGGATGGCTGGTCCAACTCCTGGATCTACAGATGGAAAACCGAGGCCTGACGAGGGAGTGACTGCCCTGCTCAGATGACAAATGGGCGGAAACCACTGTCTCTTTTCCGTGAGCCTCTCTGGCTTCAGACAGATGGGCAGTTGCTCAGAGGTTGTATCACAGCCCAGGGCAAGCCAGCACCCCTGGGCTCTGAAGCTGGAGGTTCAGGCCTCCAGAACCCCACTCTCCACTCCCTGAGGCATCCTTGGCCTCAGAGAATGGAAGTACACCACCTGCTTCCCACTGCTAATCGACACCAGCTCCTCTTCTAAGGCCCTGGAAAGATAAGCAAGGCCTTCACCATCAGCGGAGGATATGAAGCAGGCTGTTCATTCTCTGAGGCTGTGTCTTTCCTGTGCAAAGCTGACCACCTGCCAAGGAGTCAGCCCCAGGGCTGCTGATAGAGGCCTGGCCCCTGCCCCCACCCAGAGCCTGGTGCCAGAACCCAGGACAAATGTCTTCTCTCAGGTGTAAGCCCATGCAGGGGGAAGCTGCCTACTGAGAGATAAGTTCCCACACTCAAGTCCTGGGCGGGAGCCCCACCGTTGTGCTATGAAATACAAAACTATGGGACAGGGAGTGTGTCCTCCAGACAAGGGTGAAAAGGAAGCAAAGGGGTGTTCCTTCCACTCTGGGCGTCTCTCCAGTCTCTCCCTGAAGTTGGGTCTGCCAAGGTTTATGTCCCACAGAGGACACAGCCCCATCTGGTGACAAGAAAGGTCAGAGTCACCTTGCTGAACCTGTCTGGGGGCCACCTTGACCCTTTGCCTGGCACCGTGCTGCTACCAACCACAACAGGAAGGTCACACTCCACCCTCTGCCCACTCAACTCTGTAGTCCCTGCTCTGAATAACCCCAGGAAAGTCATTCTCTGGGCCTCAGTTTCCTTGTCTATAAAACAGAGGGGTTGGATCAGACACTCTGTATTAATTAGTAGGCTAGGACTGCCGAAACAAAATACCACAGACTGGTGGATTGCACAACAGACATTTATTTTCTCACAGTCCCGGAGGCTGAAACTCCAAGGTCAAGGTGCCGACAGGGTTGGTTTCTGGTGAAACTCCTTTTTCTGGTTTCTGCTTTCAAGATAGTACCTTCTCGCTGTGTCCTCACATGGCTTTTTCCCTATGTCCACCAGAGATCTCTGTCTCTTCCTATTCTTATAAGGGCACCAATCCTATCGGAATAGGACCACGCTCTTATGACCTCATTTAACCTCATCTACCTCCCGAAAGGTCCCATCTCTCCATATACTCACAGTGGGGAATCAGGGCTTCACCGTATGAAATCCGGGGGGACACAATTCAGTCCATAACAGGTACCTGCCAGCTCTGACAAGCTATGTGCCTATGACAAGCTATGAGACTATGGAGCACATGGAGAAAAATGGATGGTCCAGAACAGCTTTCAGGGCCCAGTCCTCTGCAGTGACACTCACATGGGCACTTCTGATGCCCTGAAGGCAAAGCAGTCCGGACAGGCCATGCATGAGATGCGGCTGGAGCATGAGCAGCTGACACAGAGACAGAGACAGAGGCTGAAAAAACAGACAAGCGCATACATAGTCAGGGGGTCCCAGGTCCTTGGAAAAGACCCTGAAAGGCAACCCTTACAGCCCCGGGTCTGAAGTCCCCAGCATTGTCACATGGTGGTGGTTAAGGCTGTGGACCTGGGAGCTGGGCAGCCTTAATTTGAATGCAGGCTTTGCACCTTCTAGCTCTGTGACGGGGCAGGGGGGGCAAGCTACCTAATCTTGCTGTGCCTTAGTGTCGCCACCTATTCAAGGGGAGGAACAACAGCACCTGCCTCAAAGGATGATTGTGAGGCTTGAATGAGAAAAGTGCCTGGCAGAGTGAGTTCACAATAAACATAGCTGTTAGGGTCACTGCCTGTCCCTCCCTTGATCTTCACAGGCTCCAAGGGTCCCCTTGCTACCCACATTTCCCATATGAGAATGTCAGTGTCATATAGAGCAGGTCCTATGGTCCTAAGGCCTGGGTTCAACTTGAGATCCACCACTTAATTAATATGGTAATTAAGCTCTCTGCCTCAGTTGCCCCAGCTGCAAAATGGGGTAATGATAACCAGACACCTGTTAAGACTGCTATGATACGCAAAGGGAATTATGCACTGAAAACACTCTATCAAGAGCCTGGCACAGAGTCGGGGCTTCCCATGCGTTAGCTAGTATTATTGGGTCCCGCCTCCCAGGGCCCAGTCTCACTCACCTCAGTTCTCCCTCCTCAGAAGTCACATAACTCTGGTTCCGTAGAACATTATTTCTACTATTTCACTATGTGGCCAGCAGGGGACAGATGAGCTGGTAGGATCAAGGATGGCACCACAGAGGATTGCCAGGCCCCTTGCCCTGGGAGGAGAATCACCCAGCACAGGCTGGTAGTGCCTCACCTTAAATACACTGTCACCAGAGCCCTCATGGCCTAGGTGCTTGGGTGAGCACCTAGAGATCCCAGTGGGTGTCTGGCTGCAAAAGCATAGGAGCTGGTGGCAAGGCCTCTCTCCAAGTCCTCTTGGACACCCAGCCACGAGCCATCTTCTCTGGGCCTGTCACCAGAATGGAGGCCACATGGCATTCATCCAGAAAGCCAGCAAATACACGAACCAGGAGAGACAGGACAGGCTGGAGAATAGGAGGAAAGACAGTACAGGCTGGGCCCAAAGAGATGTCTTCCCAGGGAGCCAGCATCCTGCTCCACCAGCTACTTCTTAGCAGCTGCCAGCTAGGGAGATGAGTCCTTGACCCTGGCACCGAGACAGGTGGACGGGGTGCTGGATCTTAGGACACCCAGTTGTGTATATATCTACCTACCCTGAATCCCCATTTCCTCCAGCCCTACCTCTCTACTTCCTCCAGCTGCAGGTTGCTGCCTGCCCAAGGGTCTGCCCACCCAACAACCGCCAGGACGGTGGGCCTCACTGGGCCCATGCTAGGAGGAGCTCTGGAACAACACCCCTCAGAGCCCTCACTGGGACCCAGCTCCTTCCATGAGCCCCTCTCCACTGTGCACTCCCTCCTCGCCAGTCACCCCACCACCCCCATCCATTCTGCCCATCTTAGGGACCTAGAGTCTCTACCCAGTGCAGAGGCTGCTGCCACTTCTCCAAGCCTTCTTTGTGTAGGGTATCACTCCTGGCCCCAGAGCACAAGAGAGGGGGTCCCTGAGGTTGCAGGGTCTGCTCAAACGGCACTGTGCATGTCTCCACCTTCCTTCATGTCTCTATCCAAGAGACGTGACAACAGGCGCTAGTGGATTCCCCAGCCAGCTATTAAAAGGGGAAGCAGAGAGATGATTAAAAAAAATTTTAAAAAAAAGACAGCAGGTGGGGGAGGTGAGCGAGGAGGGTAGAAGAGAGAAGAGGCCCTGTTGCCAGGCAATCAGGTCTCACTCAAAGCCTTTCCAGGCTGTTTGCATATCAATGAACATCCCCTATTTAGCACTGGGGTTGGGGCCCCAACCACTGCATTCCCTCCAAACCCCCTTCCTCCCTTGCCAGGAGTTTCCATGCAGGTATCACCAGGCTTCCTATCTCTCTGGCTCAGCCTTGCTCTACACTGCCCAGCTGAGCCCCAGGGGGCTTTGGAAAGAGCAGTGCAGCCACTGCTGCCTGCACTGGACAACCAAACACAGGGTGCATTCTCTCTCTGGCCAGGCCAGCCTCCAGGGCCACTGCCAATTGAATGCCAAGTGCCTGTTCCTTGGGATGGGGCAGGGGGTCACAGACAGAAAGCAGCACCAGGGCAGGCCGGATTTAGAGATGAGTCCCAGGTCTCACACAGCCCCTGGAAGTGTCAGAAAAGCACCTTGGAAGAAGGCAGTAGACAGAGGTCCATGGACACACACGCACGGTCAGAGGGTGGAAGCCCAACCATGAAGGCTACTGCTCTGGCACGCTCACTCCTGTGAACGTGGACTATATACGCCCCGCCCTGCTTCATATCTGCACACACGGATAGGCTGGGTCTTAGTGGACCCATAGGAGCTGCCATCAGGGTCACATGGGGCAGCCTGGGCTGGCATCTGGCAGCACACTGGTGCCACCAAGATGGAGGAGGGCTACCCTAGGCCTTGGAGGTGGTGGCCCTAGGAAAAAAAAAAAAACTCACCATGAATAATCCACTAAGTGAGCTGATTTGCATACTAATGAAGGTTTCTGAGACAGGAGGTGGGGAACTGGGGCCCATGGAGCATCCCCAGGGCCAAGTTCAGTGAAGCGAACAGGGGAGAAGGAGACAGGAGGAAAAGGGAAGTGGAGGGTGTGACAAGAATCAGCAAAAGACAGAATGTTTGACCTGGCCCATACTTTCGAGGCCAGGCGGTCCAAAGGCTTCATTTGCCTGAGAGAAAGGGGAGATTTGTAAGAGAAGAATGAACGAAAAGGAAAGAGAAAGGAAAAAGGAAAAGTGAGATTAGGAAGGAATGAGAAAAGAAAAACTAGGCTGAGAGAAGATGAAGCCCAAACGCTGGCTGGGGCAGACAGGCCACCCCGCTGCCTTCTGGGGGGCGGGGGGAGTCAGCCCGCCTCACTGGCCCAGCTCAGACTCCCTCCCCCAGGACACCCCGTGGCCCAGGCCTGCAGACCCCCAGGGACCCCAAGACCGGGTGAGCCTCCTGTGGGAGCCTGCCTTCCACTTGCTCTTCTCTTGTTTAATGAACACATCTCCCTTTTCTCTAATTAGGTGGAACAAACAACTTGAACCAGAATTTTTATTTCCCAGAAAAAGCACACGCCCGGACACAGTAAATATGTCATTAATCATCATTCTGAGGCAGAGGAGCACCTTGGGTTCGGGGAGGAGGGAGGCAGTCCGGGGGCCTAATTAGGATCCCAAGCCGCCTGGCTCCTCTCCCAGCCGCACTCGGCCAGCCCTCCACCGCCAACAGCTGATCCGCGGAGGGGCTGCAGGCAGAGTCAATCTCATATAAATGCCCCCTGTTAGCACAACGGCAAAGTAAAGAGGGGGCGAGTGGAAGAGGATGGACCTCCCTCCCCACCTCCCCCGCTGCACCTTACTCAGGTCTTATTTTCATCCAGGAAATTGTTCTTATTATCTCTTGGCTATTTATAGACACAGGACGTCTGCCGCAGAGCCGAGAGCCAGCGTGCTGCTGTGGTGCGGCTGCAGCGCCCTCCGCTGGGGCTTGGCTGGGAGCTAAACCACACCCCCACCCCGGTGCGGGTTCCTGCGCAGGCCTCTAGTCAGCGCCCTGGCCCTGAGGCTGATCGCCATCGACTGCCTGGGCTGCCCCATGGCTGGATGGGACGGACCACATCCCTCCTCCCCAGCTCCTCTCAGAGGACCCCTCTGCCCAGGCTGAGGCCGCCACCCCATGTCCCAGGGAAGCATGCACAATGAGGCCTCAAGCCACTGGCACCTGCCTAGGCCCGGGCAGTTTTCAGATATCCAGGAGAAACAGCTCAGATGACCGCTCCCTGGGTCTCTCTGGCATCTCAGACTCTGGCTTTGTCTATGCAGGATGCGCTCATCTAGACAGAGGCTCCGGTCATGTTCTAGTGCTGGAGGCCACAGGCTTTGCCCCAGCTGAGGAGAACCGCACTGACCCGTGGACCCGGAGAGCGGTCCCAGGCGATGCCACTAACTAGCCGAGTGACCTCGGAGGCTACAAAATGGCTCTAACCCTTCCCACCTTTAAGTGGAAGATCACACTAACCACCTTCCAGCTCTCAGGGAGCTGTGGTAGGAGGGTCATGACTCAGGGGTTACCATTCTCAAGTACAAATCCCAGCCCTGCCCAGCAAGTTCCTGACTCACTCTGAACTTAGTTTTCTCTTCTGCTAAATAGAGATAATGCGCCCTTCCTTCCAGGGTCTGGTGAGATTAGAGACAATGCAATTGGTATTTTAAGGAAGGTTTTGAGGAAGTAAAGTCTGTTGATCTATTCCCTGGTTCTAATCACAGCAAAATAAGACCGTGCCAGGCACCCCTTCTCTGTAGAAAGTTAAGTTCCTTCCGGGGTCAGAGGTCTCTGAGAACTGAACGGTCCTGCCCTGAGAGTGGCTCTCCTGCCCGACTTCCAGTCACGCACCCACCTTAGTGGGTCACCAGTGAGCTCAGCATGCAGGGCGTCAAACTGATGGGAAAGGAACTGAAAAGGGGTACAAGGGAAGGATGGGGGTGCAGCAATGAAGGGGAAGCTAGCTATAAAATGGCCTCGTGGTCCTGTGGAAACAGAGAAGACAGGACTTCAAAAGCCTTAGGATATGTATGAGTCTCCTAGAGCTGCCCTAACAGCCACAGCTGGTGCTTAAAAGAACTGAAATTTAAAAAGAAAAAAAAAAAAACCCTGAAATTTATTGTCTTGCAGTTGTGGAGGCCAGAATTCCACGTGGAGGTGCTAAGAGGGCCATGCTCCCCTGAAAAGGCTCCAGGGAGAACGCTCCTTTCCCTCTCCCAGCTCCTGGCAGCTGCAGGCTTTCCTCGGCTTGTGGCACTGTCACTCCAATCTCCGCCTCCTCCTTCTTATGGTCTCTTCCCTGTGTTTCTGTGTGTCTCTCTCCTAAGGACACCAGTCATTGGATTTAGGGCCCACTCTAAATCCAGAATTCTCTCCTCTCAAGATACTCCACTGATTACTCATTACTTAGCTCATCTGTGAAGACCCTATTTCAAAATAAGGTCACATTCTGAGGTTCCAGGTGGACATGGATTTTGGGAGACACTATTCAACCCACTACACAACCCTCTTACTTATTGTACCTCCAACCTGAAGTGTAAGTTTGGTCAAGCTCCGTGGCCTCTCTCGGCCTCGCCTGTTTTCTCACCGGTCACATGGAAGATAAGGGCATCTGTCCTGCCTATAACTTGGTCAGGGTGCTAACGAAGTCAGGAAGTGAAATGAGTTTAAAAATTGAAAGGGTTTATATAGATAAAGTAATAAAATGGTTAATGGGCATTGATCGTGCCCACACCCCTGCCCCAGCCCTGCCCTTATTCCCATGCCCCAAACTGCACCCCCTTCTGCAGACTACATCACTGGCTCTGGGGCCACAACACTGCCTGTGGCACACATCTCAGGGTTTCCTGCAGACCCAGAGGCTCCCTAGACACCAAAGGCAGATAAATGGGGATTTCTACATAGGACTCACAGCCTGGTTTCCATTGGACCCAGCCTGGTTTCCTTTACAATTTAAGGTCTGCGACTCTTGGCTGAATTTGATGCATGATGGGAAGCTTTCTAGTTCTTCTTTCCTTCTGCAGCCCAGCACTCAGTCAGGCTGGGGAGCCGAGGGTAACCCCAGCTCTGTTCAGAGATGGGAGCCCTAGGGTCCTGAGCTGCCCTGCATCCATGCAGAGGGCTCTTTCCACCTGTAGCCACCACCCCAGGCAAATGACATGGGGCCTTCTCTCCCTATCCCTCCCAGACGCTGCTTCGTGATGGCAAGCGTGAGAGCATCGTGAGTACCCTCTTCATCTCCCCCGGAGACGTGGAGAATGGGCAGAGTATCGTGTGCCGAGCCACCAACAAAGCCATCCCTGGAGGGAAGGAGACCTCGGTCACCATCGACATCCAGCGTGAGTACTGACCAGGCCTGGGCCAGGGAGGGAAACACCTGCACCCCTGCCTGGACCACAGTCTGGGGAAGGGATAGGGCCCGGACACTCAACTCACCAGAGTCCCACCCCAGCTCCTTCAGGACATCTGAAGGCAGGAACTGAGACAGCTTCATGGACTGGCCAGTTTGTATTTGTGGACTCCCAAAGGACCAGCTCGTCCTTATTGCCACGTGAAGTACAAACATCTCAAGTGAGGGTCCTTGGCAAATGGCACGCTTTAAGCCACATTTCCACACCTGTATAAGGTAGAAGTTGCACATCAATAATTGTCCTGGTCAGCCCCCGGCCCCGCTGGTCTCACCAGGTGGCCCCACACCATCCCTTGGAGAGGAAGCCAGAGCAGAGATGCTGGGAGCTGAAGAGGCTTGGGGTTCCAGACTTGGTGAGTAGCACCATGCCCTCTAGAGCCATGGTCCCCAACCTTTTTGGCATCAGGGACTGGTGCTCCTATGAAAATCTGATGCCTGATGATCTGAGGTGGAGCCGAGGCGATGATGCTAGCGCTGGGGAGCGGCTGCAAATACAGATGAAGCTTCGCTAGCTTGCTGCTCACCTCCTGCTATGCAGCCTGGTACCTAACAGGCCACAGACCAGTACCAGTCCATGGCCCAGGGGTTGGAGACCTCTGCTCTTAGAGGGTCCATAGGAGGCCTCTCAAGGAGAAAAGAGGAAGAAGTCAGTCAGCCCGTACTTTGCATCTATTATCTCATTTAATCTGCACAACAACCATTTCGAGTAGTTACGAAGGTGGCCCCTATCGGGGAAACCAAGGCCCCCAAGGCTGATTAGCTTGCCCAAGGCCACGTAGGTTTCAAACATAGGCAGCCTAGCTTTGCAGAGCCCACACGGGTAGCCCCTTTTCTGCGCTTACACACGGTGAGCCCTCAGCAAGCGTCAAGTATGAAGAACAACAATGTTTTGAAGCTCCACCAGCACCATGTTCCAAAAGTCACCGAAAGGAGACTCCTAAAGCACCTGGCAGTCCCAGAAAGCACAGACGGGCCCCGCAAGGTGCTCTAGCGGTATTACTCTCAGCACTTGACCAGTTTAGGTTTGAACTTTCGGCACTCGAAAATCAACTTTTCTTCTTTTAAACCCCCTTCTCTGCCAGGGAGCATGATGCCACCAAGCGCTGGTGGCTGCTTTGGTCGTAGGCTCTGAATGACAAAACTGGAGCTCAGGCTGATGTGCATTTCCTCCTTATCATTTTATTTATTTTAAATCATATTCATTAAGAAATACTTCCCAACAGCCCTGGCTCATCTAAGGCTTCTGGATTCTGCCAGAGACCTGTGTCCTCGGGTTCATCGAGCCCATCTTGGGAGCCTAAGAGCGGACATTCCCACTCAGTGTCTGAAGTCCTGGCAGACACCATTGACATTCCAGAGAGCAGAAGAAATGGTTGTAACCTCAGATGGGCTCACCGTAGATACCAGACACAGCAGCTGAGTTCTTAGAGAAGCTTTGTCGTCGCTGTCTTCACCAGCTATTAGCCCCCCTCTCCCCGATCCACACCAGCGGAGGGTGCTTCTTGCATTCCTCACTCAGTGAGAGCCGAGAACAGCAGGCCTCTTGCCAGGCCTAGGACCAGGGTGATGGGAGGGAGGTGCTCACTCCAAGGCTCATGTAAATTCAGAGTCCCCTTGAGAGGGACACCTCCCTCCCCCTCCCCCAGCTCTAGTCTAGGCCCTGCTTCTCACACCCACCACCTCTTTCATGCAGCAGCTGTGGCATAGGGCAGTAGGCTTAGCTACAGAGAGGAAGCAGGGTACTGTGGGCATCAAGTAGTCCAGTGCCTACCAGAAAGGCTCATGAGCTGTGAAGGTCTGAGCATTTGCTTCAGACTGGGAACTCCAGCTCCTTGTCCAATTGGACTGAATGATGCCCAAGGTCCCTTCCTGCCCTAAGATTGACCAGGAATCAGAGCTCTCTCCAGGCACAAGCCAAATCTGGGAGGAATGAGGATGGAAGGCACAAGACATCCAAGCCTCCTACTGCTCAGCCGCCAGCTATGGCCACTGAGCAGCCCCTCCCTCCTTCCCCCACCAGCCCCTAACTTGGTCAGGAGGCTTGTGCCAGCTACAAGCACAAAAGAAATCACCTGGTTGTCACCCACAGCAGAGACCTGGGCCCTGGCTGGAGAGCCCCAGAAGCAGTGCTTCTGCTCAGGGCCGTTATCTGCCACACCAGAAGAACCTCTCCTGACGACAAGAAAGTCATCATCATGCAGCAGCCCACCAACTATTAAAAGACGTTACTCTAAATGCACGCTAATGAGATGATCAATTTACCAGGGCACAGATGACAGTGTGCATCGGAGGAGGACACCAGCTTTGTCAGCTCTCTGAATCCTTTCTGGCTTTCTTTCCAAGGCCGTCTCTGCCACATAAGAAGGGAAGTGTCGGGAATGAGGTCAGAGTGAGACCGAGGACCCAGGTGCCTGGTTTCCTAGAGCCGCCCTATGCGAGGCAGTGCAGGGTCACGGTTAAGGCCACAGCATTCTTCCTGGTTTGAATTCCGACTCTGCTGCAGTTAACCTGGTTATTTAACTTCTTTGTGCCTCAGTTTCCTCATCTGTACATGGAGGCAACAATGCTATCTCATAGGGTTGCTGCGAGGATTAAATTAAATCATTCGCGTGACATCCCCGGCACAGCGCCTGGCACATGGGGAGCACTCTGCACCTGTTAGCTGTTGTTACCATGCACAGTCATGGGTGTGTAGCTGCCCCTCCCAAGTGCCCCCCACAGCCCCAACAGGGTCAGGTCTCCATCCATTTGTCCCCTCCCAAAGGTATTTGCACGTGCATGTGCGTGTGCATGTGCGTGCCAAGCAAAAGCACAGGCTCTCTCCACCCACTCCCTTCCCCTCCTTCCTCCTCCATTTATTCATTTGCTTCATTCAGTAAGTATCCAACTGTTTACTGTGGACACCATGGGCTGGATCAGAGCTGCCTTTGCAAACCTGCTCATTTTCTCAGTCAACCAGGAAGCATCACACTCAGCAAAAGCACATTTGTTGTTTGTTTCCCTTGGTCTTTAAATGTTACCCAACGGAAGACAAAACCCCCAGATTGAGTAATGGGAGAGAAAGCTTAACACCCCCAAATTCTTGCTACATCTGGACTCTGCATCCAGCTGCCAAGTTGCAAATGGATGTGCTATAAAATCACTGAGTCATGGAATTTCTCTTTTCCCACCCCCTCCTCCACGTAATACTTTCCCTGACCACACACACACACGCACACACACACACACACGCACACGCACACGCGCACGCGCGCGCACACACGCACAGGTTGCTGATGGAAACACTGGCAGACTCTCGGCTGTAACATCTGTTCGATGTGATCTTGGTTCCACCAGCTACATCAAAGCTGCCCTCTGCGAGCTATGCAGCCGACATCACGAGTGGGATTAAAATCATGTTTAATAGTTGGATATGACATAAACTATTTATGCCTCTGGAGCCTGGTAGACTCCTGAAAATTCACATCCTGCACATCCAGAGGAGAGGGGTAGAGAAAGGGACATGGACACCTGTGGGCCAGGGGTGGAGGTTTAGGTAAAAGTGGAGAGTGTGCATGCTTCCTTGGGGCCCATTCTCCTGCGGTCCTGCAGGAAAAGCTGGGTACTGAGACTATTCGCAAAGAGGTGGGGGAGCTGCAGGAGCTACTTCCACACGATAAACTGAGAATGAGGGATGTGATGGAGGAGGGGCTCAGGCAGCAGGAAGGTTTCCCAATAGATATGTGTTCCATCCACCTGCTCCCCAAGACCTCGTCGTTTGACAAAGGACACTCAGGTGAGGATGGGCCTCCTGGAATTGCCCCCCTAGTTCTGTGTTGGGTTTCTAGATTCTATCAAGCTGGCAAAATTACCTCCTTAAACAGGAGTCGGATGGAGGAGCTCCACTCCAACTCCCAGTATTGATTTCATAATGTGAGGACAGTGAGCCAACTACACATTTGGATCCAGATGGCACGTACCAGACGCCTATGCCTCAGGACGTGCTTCTCCAACCTTCAGTGAGATGCAAGCTCCTCCTTGGGTCTCCATGTCTCTGCAGGTGGCACCATCAGAGCCCCAGGGTTCCACTGATGCCCAGCTTAGCTGGCCAGCCTGATTAGTCTGGCCCTGGAAGCTGGTGGTCTTTGGCTAGGAGTGGCTGCAAGCTTCTGGGGGTCGCAGCTCTCCTGGAAGGTAGGAAGAGAGTCCTCATGGCTAGTCCTTGCCATACACATTTTTGTGATCTCTTGAACTATGTTTTAAAAACTAAGATTGAGATCACCAAAACATCTGTCACTTCCCTGGCAATTTACCAGGAAAGCACAAGCAGGCTGATTGCTCCAGGAACAGATGCTCCTGGAACTATGGTCCCCATCAGGAACTGGGGGATAATGTGGGAGCACAGGCCCCCAGCACAGTCAGCCACTGGCTTCAGGAGCCCTTGTCTTAACAAGCTGTCTGCGGAAACCAGCACAGCCCCTGTGGGCCATCTCCCAGGCCCCAGTCCCAGCACTGGGCAGGGAGATCTGGCCCAGCTTGAGCACCAGCAGGGCAGAGGGACCAAGTGGTCAAATGACCCCAACTCTGTGGTAGGCTAGGCTCAGTCTGCTCCTGGAGGCCTCCGCATATGACTCTCAGAGGGGCTCAGGACCCTTCCTGTCATTTCAAGCAGGAGCGGGGCCAGGCAGTCTGGAGTCCTGCTCCACTCCTGGGCCCTTTCCTGTGCACCCAGAGGGGGCAGCACTTTTTCTCAGTGGTCTCTAAGAAACTGGTTTCTTTATTTCTTTTTCAAAAATGGGCTGTACCCCTAGAAAGTCCTCAAGACCTTCCAGCAATTTGCTCTGCTTATTGGTGAGGACTGCCCGGGGCCCAGGCCAGGCCACGGGGACCACGCTGCCCTCTTAACTCACCTAGAGTTGAACTCCAGCCAGACCTCCACGCCATGACAGGAAGGGATGGACGGGTGCTGGCTGTCATCGCCCCTCCCTGGAGCGTGAACGACTGGTATGCTGAGGCTTGGGAGCCAGTGCGTGCCCAAGAGCACAGGTGACACTGGCTTTTCGAGAACGTTCCAAGCCAGCTTCCCTGAGCTCAGGAGGGCCAGCTGTCTCAAAGCCATTCTCTGGACTGATTGTCCACCCCTCTGCTGTGGATCCCTCCATCTCTACTTCCATCTTTCTCTCTCTCAGTGTCTCTCCCTGTCTCTTTTCTCCGTCCCTCATTATTTTGTTTGGTCTCCTTCCTCAATGCCCTGTCATTTTCTGTTTCTGTCTGCTTGGTCTCCCTTGGTCTTTTTGCTTTTAATCTGAAGTCTTTGTCTAATTATGTGTCTCTGTGTATGTCAGTCTCTCTGTGTGTCTCTCTCAGTCTCTCTGCTTCTCAATGTTTCTTTTTCTTATTCTTCCTCTGCACTTCTCAACATCTCTGTCTCTCTCTCTCTCTGTGCCTCTCTGTCTCTGTCTGTCTCTGTCTGTCTCTGTCTCTCTGTCTCTCTCTCTGTCATCTCCATGTCACTCTCCGATGGAGGTATCACTCTGCCTGCCTCCCATCCTTTCTGTGCAGATCTGTCTGCGTGTCTCTCTGTCTCTGTTCCCTATCTCCCGGTCTCCCTGTCTCTCTCCCTCTCTGGATTCCCTGTCTCCTCCGCTGCCCACCATTTAACACGTTAGAACGTCTCATTATGTTGAAGGCGAAAGACGAGCCCAGCCCAGGGAGCTGAGGGCTGGGTTACACCAGTCAGGACGCAGCAGAGATGATTAGGCTGATGAAACGGTGTAAATGCCACTTTCAAGTTAACGGAGACGCCAGAACCTTTACGCAGAGAGATATGAAACATTTCAAAGACAGACAGTTTGTATTTAAATGGGGCTTAGTGTCCACACTTCCCCTCATGCCTCCTGAGCCTCCTCTTCCCCCTCTCCTTTCTGAAGTGTTTCGCTCTCTCTAAAAGCTGGAAGATGGGCAGCATGATCCTGGGGGCCAGGCATCCATACTTCCTGGCTGGGTTGTTCATTTAAAACCTTGAATCCACAGAAGGAGCCCTGACCCCACCACCAGGACGGCCTGAAGCAAGTACCTCCAGGGAATCAGGGCGCCTCCGCTGAGGCCCCCAACTTTCTGGGGACCACTGGAGTGGTGGCTGCTCTGAGGGTCCCTAGGACCATGGATGGTGGAACCTCTGGCCTTTACTGTCCGTGTCACCCAGAGGGTCTTCCTGGGTCTTCCTACCTCATTCTTTCCCAAAACCATGAACCCAGCTCCCCAGTCTGCAAGGGACTCTCTTCTCTCTGCAGATCCCCCACTTGTCAACCTGTCCGTGGAACCACAGCCAGTGCTAGAAGACAATGCTGTCACATTCCACTGCTCTGCAAAGGCCAACCCAGCTGTCACCCAGTACAGGTAAGAGCCACTGCTGAGGAGGCACAGCCCAGCCACTGGCCCCCCGCACTCCTTCCTGTCACGTGAGCTGTCACGTGTGGTCCTGGGCATCCAGCACATGTGTAGCTCACTGCGGGTGCCCAGTATCTTCCTCCATTCTCCACCACACCCATCCACCTTGGCCAGGTGAGGACCCCTTTCCCCCCACCTCCTCCCCTCCTCCCTGGCCAGGTGGAATTCCTCTCCTCCGTGCACACATATACTCCCATGCCACTGGCAACAGTACGTATCCTCCCTTCTGTCTGATCCTTTATTTCTGAAAAGAGAGAGGCTCAGGAAAACAAGTTAAAACAACCAGGAGAACCAGTAAGATCAGCATCTGGATTCTGGCCTTGTGTCACCGAACTATTCGCCTGGGTAGACTGGGATTCCTGGGACAGCTGGCCCTGTCCAGTGGACACCTGGCCCTGTCCAGTGGACACCTGAGACCATTCACCCCTATGGCCCCTGAGCTTTCTCACAACACTGATAAAACCATCACTATTTCTTACGTGCTCGTCTTTCCCTGTTGACTGAGCTTCTTGAAGGCAAGAACTGTGATTTGAGTCACTAATGGCTCTCAGCATGGAGTACAGTGTGTGGCACCTACGGTTCTCCACAACGCAGGCTGACTAACTGGACAAACGCTCAGAGCTGCTCCTCCAGGCACCTTCCTGCCTGTTCAGCATCACCGCACGAGATTTCCAGAGACGAGTGACCTCAGAGGCGCTCGAGGGCAGACTCAGTCCTCACCTCCTAGGAGATCTTGTCACGGCCCCAACTCCACGCCGTCCCTTCCCACCAGCTCAAACCTGATGGAGGAGCCCAAAGTATCACTTCTGCCATGGAGATGGGTTATCAAACTGCAGCATCAGCCAGTGCCAGGGATGCTAATAGTCCCGGAGGAGGAAATAAGCCAGCCAGTGGGAGGTGGAGGACAGGGAAGGCAGAAGCAGTTTAGCCCCAGAGGCCGAATGAGAAGCAGTGGACCAAAGAGGCAGCCAGAGGTTCAGGCTGGACATAAGGCGGCACCCCCCTGCAGTGCAGATAATGAAACAACACGGGGGCCAGAAACCAGGACAGGCAGAGTCTTTATCCATAAGGCTGTTTTAAAATAGGATGAAAACCTGTCCTGTCCAATTTAGCCGTTCACTGGGCTAGGGGCTCCCTGGGGTCATGCAGCTCGGGAGGTCCGGGGGCAGGTCTGGTTTTGCTGGGACCTGGCGTCTGTCTGGAAGTGACTAAAGATACAGAAGGAAGCACCCAGAGAGACCTTTTCTCTGGGCTTCCACCCTGCAGCTGCCAGGCCCATCTCCTCTTAACAAGACCAGCTTCTCTCTGTTGTCTACCCTCTGTTCACGATCCCTAAACACCAGGGCATCATGCCCAGAAATTGCCCCTAATGCCTGTTTCGCCGGCGGCCGTTCATGCCCACAGACCACTGGGGCAGACACAGCCCACAGTGGCCCTCACAGCGACCCAGGAGTGCTTACTGAACCCCGGAGACAAGCACAGACAACTTCCACCTTCCATTTCTCTGCACTGCCAGGCTCCAGGCCATCCGAGGACCTAGTTATGGGAGGCTGGGCAGAAGGTAGGGCCATGCTCCAGGACCGAGCCACGTCCCCGCCTCGACATCTGCCCTTCAACCAGCACAGAGCACGCAAAGAGCCAAGAAACTGGGCTGCTGGGCCTGAGTCCCAGGGTCATCCCCCTCAAAGAGCAGAACCCCAGGGACCATGATGGTAATAAGGTGCAAGTGTACATATGGAAAGAGCATCAGAAAGCAGATGTGTCAAGATAATACCAACTAGTGAGTCTGGAGAAGAGAAGAGGGCAGTTAATTGCTTATTCTTGCAACTTTTATATAATTTCAGTTAGTTATTTTTTTTTTTTTAACTAAAAAGTTAACAAATGAACAAGCAAGCAAACAAGCAGAGACCATGCAGGTTTACCTTGTCTGCATCCAGCTCGGCAGCTGACAGTCACAGGTCAGCCCCTCATACAGAGGAGGAACTGTGAGGTGGGCTCCCTGCAGGCGGGCACTGGTCCTTACTTGTCACCTTCCTCGTGGCCTTCTGATTAGCCAAAGGCCTTGAGAATGCTTCAGAGCACAGAGCAAATCAGGCTCTCTCCAGGACTCCTGAGGCTTTGGGGGAGCCTTCTGGCCACAGGAAAATGCAGAGGTGGAGGAGCCATAGAAGAGGTAGCCAGGAGCACCTGCACCCGCCCACACCCTCTTAGCCCTTTCGCTTCAGTGAGGCCTCACCCAGCAGGTCATTCTGGCTGCATTGTATTGGGATCCAAGAGGAAAGCCTTAAGCAAATCTCTGCACATACACACATTGATTTTTCTCAACTGACTTTGACAAGATTACAGGGATCTTTGTGTCTTTACTGCCATTCCTCTTGATTGCTTCCTCCCTGTTTTACATAAGAGGCTGTGGTCTCAGAAATTAGAGACATGCTCTCCAGCACCCAAAAAGGGGATACAGGTGGGCATGGGAGCACATCCAGCCAGGCTCAGTGTCACTTTGGCTGCCCCTCGGGACCAGGAGCCTGGGCCAGAGCAGGCCCCAGCACAACACGAAGTGCGTCTCCCCGCCTGCTTGGTGGAAAAATAAGGAGACAGGAGGGGCGAGAAGCAGGAGGAAGCTAAGCCAAAGAACCAAGAGAAGAAGAGAGGAGAGCCGAGGGCGGGACAGGTGGGGGTTCTTGCCCTCTGGTTCACCCTGGATCCTGTGGCCAGCTGCTTGAATGAGTCTTCCGAAGTTCTGGAAGGGAGCCCCACGAGAGGAATTTTTTGTGTTTTTGTTTTTGTTTTTGTTTTGGGCGAAGGGTGGGGAAGATGAAGATTCGGCTAAGTGAGAAAGGGAGTATGAGACTCTCGAGGCGTCCCGAAAAGGCGCAACCCCCACAGCCGGCTCCGGCCGTGACCATGGGAGAAAGTAGTCTAAGTATTTTTCCTGCTCCCCGCTCTGCTTCTAAGATAGAGACAGACCTGGGGAGCTAAGTGCAGCAGTTACACAGACGGCCAGGCTCAGACAACACAGCTCTACTGGGGACAAGAAGCTTAGTCCCCCAGCTGTCCCGCCGGGTTCCAGGCCTGTGGGAGCCGCAGCAGTTCTCCCCAGCTCCTCAGAGCCAAGCGGGTACAACTTCCACCCTCCACAACTTACATGGCGAAGGAGCCTAGATGGGTGGGAGAAAGCCCTCTCTTCCCCAGCCCCAGCGTCTGCTCCGTCAGCCGCCAGGAGCAGAGCAGGAGGGGCTAGCCCTGCCCTCCCCCTGTCCAGCCAGCTGCCTGCGTCCCACCCCTCTCTTCAGGGGTATAGAAGGAGTAGGGGTTGGACACCAATCTTCAACCGTGTGTCTGGATCTGAATTCATCTGCCTCAGGCAGGGGCCGTTCCTATTAAGTCTGGTCATTAAATTAAAGTTAGAAATTGAAGTGATTCATGAATAACTCATAATGCTTTGTTGGGAAGCTCCTTAAGCTCTCAGGGAGCACGGTTTGCTCTGTTGTTAAACTATAATTGTTATTATTAATCGTGTTCTTAATAATTACCCGATATTAATTCACAATAATAACCACAAGGTGCCAGCCTGGGAGCTCGGAGTGATGCCGAGAGATGGCCATCTCTCAGGGCTGGACGGGTGGACAAGGCAGGAAACTGATGCAGGACAGGGCAGAAGACGGGACTCTTTGGTACCAGGAAAGGCTCAGGTGTGAGAGAAAGTGGGGGTGAAGGAAGGGCCAGCAGGGCAGCTGTGGTTACAGGGAGCCATAGCCACAGGGTAATAATCGTGGGGCCGAGGAACCTCTCCAGTGCTGGTAAAGACGTATGCCCTGAACTAAACTTGAACTGTAGGAGGAGGCTGGCTGGAAGTTTTGTGATTTAAAAAAGTGAGTGTTGTCTACAGTGGAATTAAACTAGGGGAAGCTATGAACTCTCTCCTTGGGCACCTGTAAGGAAAGCCCTCAATGTGCGTGCACGCGCGCGAGCACACACACACACACACACACACGCACGCACACAGCCCTGGGGCTGCAACACTACCCCAGAGGAAGCAAGCAGTGATCACCACCCCAGGGCCCGGACCAAGACAGGCTCAAGGCTTTTCTGTCTTTCCCCTCTGTTAGTATAGATGGGTCCATGGGCCAATGAAAGAAGTCAGCACAGCCTTCATCCTGCCTCCCCGACCAAATCAGGAGAGAGAGAGCAGCCTCTAAGGAGCAAAGCCAGGGTGGGAGGGTGAAAACTGGGTGGAAAAAGAGCGAGTGCCATCCCTAGGGGTGAGGGGTGAAAGGGCTTTTGGGGAGAGGGGGGCATGTGAGGGGA